AATTTTCGACCTGAAAAATTGCAGTATTTTTTCCTAATCGTCATTTTAATGCTTACATTATTTTAGTTTCTTAAATTGTATCGTATCGTATTAAAATGGACAACCGCTTGCAAGCGTATGAAGTTGAACAGATGATACGATAGCTATGGAAATACAATCGGATTTCATACGCCATAATTTAATTCGTGATATGGCAGAACAGAATGCAAGCGTTTATCGTGCATTGTATGGATTCATAATACAGGGGTATAATAAAACTGGGCCCCCGAAGAGATTGCTGAATGGGCCCGTTTTTCTTAAATCCGCCACTGTCTTTCACCATGAGTTGGAGTCATTTCTTCCGCCAAAAGTGCTGCTGCGCTGTGTTATATATTGTGTTAATTCAGGTCTAAAATAACATAAAATACTCTTGGGCAGCTAGACATTAACTAAATGATATTGAAATCAGAAATAAACTAAACATTTCAGTTAAAGCATTACTTGCCCACATGTGTGCATAAACCTACATATGTATTTATGTAAGAACATGCAATGTATTGACATAAATATGTATGTATATATATATGTAGATACATATGTACTTACATAATTATATTAGGAAATGTATGTATGTACATTCACTCATTGATAAGTACACATATCTGAAACGAAAGCCACTGACATTAACTAAAAACAAGTTAAGACGCTGAATTGAACTTTCGCAATTGCTCCACGGAGATCGTTTGAGATTTACGACTGTAGCAATATTGTAGAAATGCTGAACGACGAATAGAAATGAAGTTGATGTTCAAGCCAACACTAAAGGCTCAGTTATGCATACTTGGCATTGCATGAGTGTTGTCACATAAGAAATATGTTCAATGAGCTTTGCATGTAAGCGGTTACCCAAGGCACAGCATTACATATGCAGAAGTCTGTTGGATTTTTGTTTCTACGTAAAAATTACATTCTATGCAGTGCGGTGCAAAGTATGCATGACTGAGCTATAAGTTTTGACGAATCTTTCTTCTTGAGAGTGCGAAATATTTTTAGTGTACTACATACATAGGAACATAGGAAAGAATGACGGCTGCTTACGGAATTGTCCTATACACAAAATCAACAACGAAGTCTTAATATTCTGATACAAAAGTGGCTTTAACGAGTTTTGGCTATTTTGCTTTTGTTCATCTAATGTTTATTAGTGTTTTTTATGAAAGTATAGCTTACTATCTAACAAAAACCACGTAAGACCGAATTTCAAACTTTGTAAAAAAATTTGGAAAATCCGAGACAATGTTTTACTAAAATTTAAAACTTTTTAATCAGAAACTTTTTAATTCGAAAAATTATGTTATGATCTTTTGTGACCCCGTAAATTTTAGTAAAGTGCAAATTCGTAGCAGCTTAGACTTACCGTGGACTTTGGGCAATTTATTTTTGCTAGCAGTAGGTTTATTCAATATTAAAAAATTGTTACGAATTGTTACTATTTAGTACTTGCAAGTTTTTACTGGAAATGCATTCAATAACCCTAAATATTTGTAAGTGAGAGCGAATTCGAGAGCGTAACAACCCGAGAGAGCTGCGAATTCTTGCAAGTAAAAATTTTACTACCAGGAATTTACAGGAGTCAAAAAGTAAGAACATCTTATATGGAGGGGAAACACTCAATGAAAGATGTTTATTTTTTTTTTAGTCGGGATAAAAATATTAACGAATCAAATCTTCCATAGTTTACACGTTCTTTCCACATACATATATGCATGTAGGATTTTATTTGTAAGCATGTTTACTAATGCAACTGCAAATAAGTACAGAGTACAGTAATGGGAAAGGACAAAACTTGCAAAGAAAACAGTGTCTGGAAAGTTATGCAAGCGATTCTCTACAAAATGTGCAAAACATAGAAAATGTGTTTTTGGGCGACTGCAGATGATTTGTATGCTTACTTCGGCGTCGCTTGGTCGCTGTGGCTACACCCACATCATACAAGCATACACTATACATATTATTTGAGTTTTTTATACATCCAATGTATTCACATATGTATATATATACACGGACATATACAATGTATATGTATATTGTACATATTTAGTATATGCACGAGTATATAGTTATGTGAAAAACATATACGTAAATGCACGTATTCCAGGGGTGGACCTAAGCCCCTGTACTAAAGACTTTCGAACTAAATATAAGCCTGAAGAGCCCCCGAATCATTGCCTCTATATAAAAGGTCCTAGCCCTCAAGCAAATGGTCTTAGCAGTTTTTCTGATCATAGCAGGGGTATTCTCAGTGGCTCAGTGGTTTGCCCTAAGGCCCGGGAGGCCCGACGCCTACCCAAAATATTTTTGCTTAAATGAATTTTTATGTAAATAAATTTATCAAAATATAAATTTCTGCCCTCTCGCTGAGTTAATCACTATATAACCCATATTTATTGCCTATAGCGTAATGTGCGCTTCCGTTCCGTTTCCGGTTCTTTTAAAACGGGTTTTCAGTTCTTTGGACCTTTTTTCCAGTTTTCTTGAGAAAATTTTTCAGTTCTTCCGGAACCGTTTTTGCCCATAGTGCTATGTGCTGACCGCAGCGGTCCTGAGATAATTTTTCCGTTCTTCCGGAACCGTTTGTCGGCTCTTTTGGAATCGAGTTTCGTTTATTCTGGAACCGTTTTTCGGGTCTTTTAGAATCGAGTTTCGGTTCCGCTAGACCTGTTTTTAGATTCTAGTAAGAACCGGACCGATCGGTTTTCTAAAATAGCCGTTTCTTCGGTGCATAAATACATATGTGCATTTGTATATTCTTCTATACAAGTGTATCTACACATTTCCTTATCTATCGAAGACGTTAAGAGATCTCGATGCTTAAGCGTAACTGTGCTGTTAATTTTGTATTATCCTTTATGTTATTACATGTTTATACGAGTGTGTATGGGTGCATGTAAGCGTTTTTACTTTTCACTTCAGTAGCTTGTTTAGCAAAGATAACTGTGTTATTTGCATATTGTCCTCCATGTTTGGCATATTAATGTGCCATGTGCAGCAGAAAAACAAAATGCGAAACGTTCAACACAATTTTGTATTTTGTTTCAACAGTTAAAATGTAGCACAGAATGAGTGTTTGGCTATATTTCTCAATTAAAGATATTTCCTATATTTTACTTGGTACTAACTAGCAAATGTTCTGGTATATGCTACTTAAATTAAAAAGAGCATATATTTTTCAAAACTTTTTCTAGACTAATTCTTTGGGTGTAGGAATTATTTTCCACTTTTTGGTCTATTTATAGAAACGTGGTATATTAACAAGTAATTACTTATGACTCAATCTCTAAAAAAAAAAATTGGTTTGGTCCAATACCCAGCCGAGTGCTGCACAGTGTAATGATTGCGGTATCTTCATTTATGTATATTGTAACTATCAATATCTTACAAAGAGAAGTGTAAAATTTTTTTATCTAAAACTAATAAAATTAGAGGGACGAAATTCTAGGATGTGGTAGTTTACATACTAGTCCTTGACATATATTTAAGGATAATGTTTTAAAAGGATATTTTCAACACTTATTCGTCCTGGTGCACCAAAAAATAATTTCTTTTTTAAATTTTACTGAATTTTTCCTTTTAATTGATACTTATATTGTTACTCCACAATGCACCAAATCTTTTAAATAATTTTTTTATTCAATCACATCCTAGAGTTTTCAAAGTCCTTTAACAAATCCTGATGTCCGAGAGAAAAACTAAAAACGCACTTATACTATATTTGGCTCCTAATTTTGTGAATCTATTGATTTTTTCGTGGGTTTTGACAATTTTTGGTTTTTGTCGCACGGTGTAATAAATTGAGCCTTGAAAACTAGTCTTGTGTCATTTTATAAATCTCTCATCACGCCCGTCCTAGGATATAAGGCGTCCTTTGACGTTTTCAAGGAAAATATTTCCGGGCCTTATGACGACGACAAATACCGCGGACGATGGAACAATGAAATATATAAACTGTCCAAGTATATTGGCATTGCATGTATAGCGATTTAAAATACAACGAGGCTATGCTGGCTTGGTCATGTCGTACGCGCCAGTACTGCAAATATTCAATGTGGTACCCCCGGTAGTAGCAAAGGAAGAGGAAAGCCTCCTTTGCGAAGAAAAAAAATTGGCTGCGTTTCCAATTGAAAACAGTTGGAACGAAAGAGAGATGTCTGGCGAGCTGCATGATGGGACTCGACTGTTACAACGCCAAAGTTGAAGGAGAAAAAGGCCTTCGAGATACACGAGTTCTGAGGTGATGAAGAACGGCACGCAAATATATAATAATAATAATAGTAGATTGCCGCTTACACAAATGTATGTTGGTGTTGGGCCGAGATTCTCCTCCGAGACCTACAGTTTTGCACGGACTCCAAACGGCGATTGTATTTTTATAAAGAGCTATTTTTCATGGCAGAAATACACTCGGAGGTTGCTATTGCCTGTCGATGGGCGACCGCTGTTAAGAAAAAAACCTTTTTTCTATATTTTTTTGCGATAATGCCTTGACCGGGGTTTGAACCCCACCACTACACCACTGCAACCGCCAATAAAGTTCAGTGTAAATACTTAAAAAGGATTTATATAAACCAGTTGGGCAAGCCTGGCCAGTTGATCTCAGCTTATATGTAGTACATATTTATGCATACCTGATTGACTTTTTTCGAGAAATGCTTAAAACTCTTTCAGTTGTGTGTTTGGAGATGAAACGAACTCCCCTTGTTCTTGCGATGCCTAAATATTTCTTACCACTTGACCGATTTGCAGTTACTGGGCTCTGAAGAAACTTTTCTAAAAATTTTAAAGAAGACGTGATCATATATTTTATTTACATATATAAACTTTTATTTTGTATGTATTTTTTCTGTTGTTTTTAACCGACTTCAAAAAAAGCAGGAAATTATCAATTGGTCCGACATTTTTTTTTTTTTTTTTATGTATGTTATCGCATAACTTTGGACCACGTTAACTGATTTCTATAATTCTTTTTTTAAAGGAAATGTGGTACCCAAGAGCTGGTTCCATGCTAATTTGGTTTAGATTCTGTTATTGGATCATGAAGAAATGTACTTATATGATAATTGAAGTCGGTTTGGTTTTTGCTTAAAAATTACTTGTTTATTACAATTTTTTTTTTCGTTTTAACATTATTTCGAGTAAGTCACTTTTGTCCATTTTATCCACAACCATCAAAAGTTTAGTAGATGCTTTTGTAGGTATTATATGGATAGAAGTTGTAGTAGTAGTTGTATGGATAGATGTCTGGATAAGAACGCACCACTGGCGATAGATACGAACTGATAACTGGTGTGACGTGTGTCTTTACTGCCGGCGCTACGATTGGTGTAACAACATTGGCGCGATTGTGAACGATGGTAGAACTCTGATGAGACACAGCTGTGGGCACACTGTGAACCAAATCGCCTACTTTGGCCAAAGTGGGTTCGTGTATTATCGAGGTCGAATAAAGTGTTGGCGATAAATGGATTTCAGTGCTCTCAAGGTTGTCTGGGCTTTCCCGCTTTACGGTTACTTTGCCTACAACGGCGGTAACAAGAAAGAATAATGCCACCTGTGGGAAAGAAACAAGAAATAGGTATACATATTTTTAAAATGTGTGTACTATTTTGAGACTTTTTTAACTTACCAATTTGAACATTTTGTCGCTTCTTATGAAAATTCAATGACAGAACTGTTTCAACTATGGTCTGCACTCGCTGATTGTCGCAAAGCGTATGGATGTCCTAACCGCTTAATGGCAAACTTATTTATACCAAATTCGAGTGTCATTCCCAAAGTGAGAACCAGAGCAAAAACAAAATTTAAATTGGTTCTGTACAAAGTAAAAGGAGCATCAGGGATATAGTTTCCATTATTTGTTTTTTTTTTTCTTCTTATCTTAAATCCCTGCTTCGGCATGTGGCAAAAGCGATAAGACAATTTAGTAAATTTTGTAGAAGCGATATTGAAAAAAGTGAATGTTCGTTCGGCTGCGGTTGTTATTGCTGCACGCTGCTGTGAACATTTGCTGCACGCGCGACTATTTGGATCCATAATGAGCTTACGTGCAAACCTGTTACCTGATATTTCCGTACCTTTCCACTCATACGTATGTAAGTATGTACATACATACATATGTACATACATATATGCAACTACATGCTTATGTATGCTTACCTAAATACATCTTACCCATGCCTCGGAAAATTGTTTTAAATTGCCTCGGTTCTGTTATTGGTGTTATGCGTCTGCAAATGTTGTTAATGCTGTTAATTATCTGCGTAGCGTAGCGTTGCAAGTTCAAGTGCAAGTGCGCTTACGAACACAATTGGCTGCACGCAGGCTTTTTTTTTTGTTGGTTGTTACATCCAGTGTATTTTGTTGTAAATGAATGTACAAGTTGTAGATATTCTTAGCTGGAGTTCTTACATATGTACATAACCACGTGTGTATGTGCATACATAACTTGCGATCTTATTAAGTTTTATTTTTATATTTTGTCTAAATTAACAAGTGACAGCCAAAAAATTCTGAAAGCCGGCAGTGCCTACATATATACATACATACTATACATAAATAAATGCATGTTTACATTCTTACCTTTATTTACATGTTGTGCGTATGCCGTAGAGGTATGTATGAATCCACTGAACAGCAAACGTAAAAATCCATTTCAATAAAATCTGGTAGTATTTATTCCTCATTCCTGCCCACTAGTGTGTGTGTGGCTGGTCGCCAATCCATAATTTTTTTTTTTAATCTCTGGGTTTTTATGAAAAATAGATCTTTCATCAAATATTTGCTATTTCGGAGGATCGCTTCTAGTCCTTGCCGCATTAGAATACAAAATTCGGATAGGTGGTGGGCGTGACATTTACTATATCCACCCCCTAGTGTAGTGGGCGTGGCAGTTCGCCAATTTCTGCCAGTTTTCATACTTTTTCTTTTCTTAGTGAAAGTACTTCAAATACGTTTACCACCTTTCCTGCAACTTTTAGGGATCTATGAAATGTTCAGTCTATGGGAGATTGGCGACTTGGACGCAAGGAGACGCAGATGAAAGTTGTCTTGCTATTAGTTTAAAGTGTATAAAATATATTTTTTTCAATTACCCTCCACCGCACGGCGCCGCAAGCTGCCTATAATAATAATAATTGATTGGCGCGTACACCTACATATGTTGGTGTTTGGCCTAGCTTCTCCTCCGATTTGTGGCGTGCGCCTTGATTCTGTCACACAAACGGGAGGAACCTACAGTTTTACGCCGACTCCGAACGGTGATTGTATTTTTATGAGAAAAGCTGTCAAGTACTTGTTCGCCTCTCAACATATTGCGGCCAAAAGTGCCTTAATTAATCCGTACGAAGATATGGAAGGGAAGCACAAAAAGTAACTCACATCCCATCCTCTTCAAGTCAGAAGGGGCTAAACATGAACACCCTCTACAGTCGGATGGACATTCAAGTTTTTATGTCACGAGAAGTCACAACACAACAGTAGTCACAGTGAAAGAATATTCCTAGCTTGACCTCCTCAGATTGAGAGCAACATAAGCTTATCATCTGTAAACAATACAAAGGCCTTTAGTAAGGTCGGCTATAACGTCGGTGGTGTATATGGCACTATAATTGCTTGCCGACCGTTCTGTGCTTGGTTCTTCCATTTTATTCGATGGCGCTTCCATTTTCGTTTTCGAGGCGAAGGATCTTCTGTCCGGAACATCATCATTAACATAGCCATAAATCTTCTCTCGAAAGACCCAAAAAAAAACTCTCATCTTTGTGCGACATCATGCTCCGCGCGATATAAAAAAAAGGACATGATGACAGATTTTTGCGTAATTTTTGTTCGTCGATAAGGGGCTCTGCTTTTCAATTGTCTAAAAATCCCTTAGTAACTCCAGTTGGCAAGAGTTATCCTCCGCTTGATCTCCATGCTACATTGTGAGTAATGTTATTGCTGGATCCTAGATATATAGAGCCCTTTACAACTTTACAATTATAACAGACAACAATGACGTGTTTCGCAAAACAAGAAGGCTTTTTTTTTGTTGTCTGGAGGTACTCTGTCTTGTTTTCATTCACCAACCCCTTGCTGCCCTAACGAGCCTGGGGTATACTCTGTATTGCGATTCGAAAAGCAAATCATTAGGATTCGAATACTTGGCACTACGAATTTAGTGTTAGTTCGTGTCGCATTTCGAATCGCATTGATTTTCCAATCGAAATACAAAGTAGACCCCTGCTGGTGTTGAGCAGCATCATGCTTTTGCTGTATGTGATGCCACTGCGATGCAGATGGGCAGCTGGTATTCTGCTTTTCCAAAATCGAATTGAAAAATGCACACGATTGTGGGACGCCTTGCCCAATTTATACGGAGCTAAGGATTGTGATCAACGTCATTCTACATGGCCATATAAGCTATACGGTGATTCCTAATTTAGACATGGCGTCGTTGGAGCAGCTTCTATGAAAAGGTGATACCAGTCGATGTGCTTATAAAGGGTCTTTTCGGATTCGATGTGCTGTGAAAACCTGATAAATGGTGGGTTACATACTGGTAAGGCTCAATCAGCTTTTTAATATAGGATATAATATGCCGCATCAAGAAAACCTAACCCTTCTTGGGGATTGGGTAAAACACACAGGGCACGTCAGGTAGAGAATACGATACCAAGTAGCAATACTTCTTGAACGAATCAAACTTACACAAGTCGGAAATGAAAGACGTCCAACTTCTCTTTTTCTAAGTAAAACTAAATGCAATTTAAGTTTCCACTAGAGAATTTATATTTTGCTGCAAAATGTCTTCCGGTGCAGACTTCTAGTAGATACATATGTACGTAGGTACGAAGTATGCATGTAAAAGTTAACTAACTGTCGGTCAATGTCAAAATATTTTCAACGCAATAATCGCTGGAATGAGTTCTTCCGAAAATAAAAAGGCGGTAGCAATCGGCCGCGCTTAATGATCATAACCCTTACTACCCAGAATTCTCTTTTCTGTGTTGTCGAAGAAGAGGGGTAAATCTTCTTTCTGCGTATGCGGCCTACAACTGTGCTTAGGAATCAGTGTTGCCATTTTAGCCGTTTTCCGGCTAGATTTAGCCGGTTGCGATAGCAAACAGCCGGAGAAATTTCGATTTAGCCGGCAGCCGTTTTGCAGAAAAAAATAAGTCGTTTTTAGCCGATTTTGCTCTTTGCCTTGTTTTCTTAAATTTCAAATATGTATATATGTTTCCATTTTTGACTAAGCGTCCCAAAATCTGTTAGAGATCGCTACTAGCCTTATCGTGGAGAAAATTTTCATGTCAGGCAGGGTTGTATGAAATTGGGCCGATTTCGCTTATTTTTATGTTAAACGAAGAAGGGATTTTCTTCATAAAATGTTTGTTATAAATGTCTTAATTTTAAGTGTGAAGTTTTATTCGCAAACTAAGAAAATAAGAAATTGTTTCCCTGTTAACACACTCAAGATGCAAATTTGCAAATTCGCACATTTGCAAGTTTTTCAACCAGTTAGTGTCCACGGTTGCATTTCAAACAAAAGAAATTTGTATAGATGCTTTCCATTTCCAGACAACCGGTCAGGTACGAGCATGATTTTTAATTTCGACCAAACTCAAATACATTGTTTGTTGGTCCAAATAATGAGACACACGTATTTTTTCTTTTGGCTCGGAAAAATTTTTCGGCCGAATTAAACGCGATTTTGTTTTTCAGGCAAAAAAAGATTATTCGAATTGACAGTGAGAATTTTTTTTTAAATGCCCATAACTTTGTCAAAATTTAATAGATTCCAACAATGTTTTTACTCAAATGTCAGTAATTCTTGTCACTTCAAGATAGAATGACATAATTATTGATTTTCATTATTTAAAATTTTTTATTTAACAATAAACAAAAAGTGCAAATTTTTTTTTTAAATTTAATTTTTCAAAAAGTGTATTTTTTTTCTCTCAAACTTTTTTACCGGGAAAGACACACTTTGAACTACAATCAACCCAAATCTCTAATAGCGAAGAATTTTTTTTTTCTGAGTTATGATTTTTTATAGAAAATATACGTTTTTGTGGTACATACTACAATATTCTTATATTGTTTAACTAAATGGAACATATGTATGTAATATATCAGCAAAAGGTACAGCCGTGATCATTTTTTGTGTATCAAATAGATATTAGAACACACTTTCCACCATACAGTTTCAATTATAAAAAGCGGGAAAATGTGATTTTGTATTTGTTTAGCATTAATCACGTAATTTTTTTTTAATTTTATTTTATGAAAAAATCAATAAATTTTTTAGTTTTTTTTTGAATATTTTGGGCTTTAAAGTAAAAAATAATAATATAACTTAGGTATATGAACTGAATGATAAATTAGTTATCATTGTTTTGACCCATTACTTTTTTTAATCAGTAATGTAGTTCATAAGATATTAATAGTTTTGTTCACACGTTTTCTGGGCTTCTCCGGTAATTAGAGCGTAAAATTAAGTTCTTTTCACATGTGTCAAAAATGTGTCAACACTAGGGTGGTCCAAAAACAGTAATGCAGTCGGAATTGTAATGCTCTCACCCAGTGGCGTAGCCAGGGGGGATATACATATATATATATATATATATATATATATGGGGGGATAGATCACCGCTCTCCCCCCCTTCGTCATTGAACTACAATTATTTACTTTTGAATTAATAACACAATACTATTTTATCCTTCTGATTTAAAATTATTTTTATTTCAGACGGATGACAAATTATCTTTTAATGAATATATGAGTAGTCCACTTGCAAACAGCGTTATGTGATTTTATAAAAGTAAATCATAAATTAAAAAAAAAAAGTCTACGACAACAAGTAACATCCGAACTGTATCTTTTTTTATTACCTGAAAATTTGGATAAATAAGAGCCTAATACCATTAAAAAATAAAATTGCAGTATGGTAGATTTGCAAATTTTATATTTAAAAATGTAATATTGCAGTAACTTTTACATAGCTAGCTTTTTTAGCTTTTCGCGTTCTCTCCTCTAGGAAGATTGGTTTGCTTCTTTTTTGCGACTTCTTCCACCAGGCACCGAAACTACTACGTTTTCTTGCAGTTTTCTAAGTTCATACGAAGAGGAGACATTTGAAAGTGTATAAATAAGTATTATAGCGACTTTTGCAAGAGTAGTTAACATTTCATGCTATTTTTTTCAGAATATAGACAAATTTTTCACTCTGCTGTTAGTGGACATGAAACCCACCAAAAACTAAAAATCTGCAATTTTGCAAATGGACTACTCAATTGTTGAATATGGGTGTTTCCAGCGGAAGGTCCACCACGACAAAAAAAATAAAAGTTTTATATCTAACGTATTTACGTGCCGATTTGTCTGCATTTTAAAATATATACTGGCTATGTAAGTAGAATCATGTTTGCATAAAATGGTCTTCCTAGGTGGTGCCAAGGTCGAGATATTTCGAAAAACCGTATTTATGGTCCAATTTGGTTCGAATTTGGCGTATGTGGTTGAAACATAATAAATCAGAGATTTCTAATAAATTGACCCTGAATTGGCGCTGAAGTCAAAATATTAAGTAAATTCTACATAAAATACATGTTTTATTTGCGTTGAAAATTCATTTAAAAGCAATATTAACAAAAATATAACGATGGAAATTTATGTCACGTGACGCCACGTCACGTCACGTTTCACACTTGGGGGTTGTAAAAGAGAATTGAAACAATTTGCATTAATTCAAAAAACTCTAAAAACAACTAGAATTGCTCCAAATCATATTAAAATAAGTTTCATGAAAATAGCCATCCACAATTCGCAGAGTTTTGCGATTTTGTAAGAAAAGAAAAAATCAACTTCCATTTTTTGTCACGTAACGACACTCTCTTTAAATACTTATATTTCAAGACCAAGCAGTTCGATTGATTTCATTTTTCGGTTAAATATAGAGCTAGTTATGTGCCATACAATGGCCCAAAAAAGTTAAAGAAAACAAATGGTATTCCTTTTTTGTATCACATTGAAATCGTACGACTGTCACGTGCGCCACCATTGGAATGTCCATATGCTATCTTATTTGTCCCTTCTTTTTATACAATTAAGGAGCGGCTGAATGGTTTAACGATGTTAGCGGTACATAATGATGTGCCGATTACAACACAAGAAGTAATTGAAAAAATGTGTGTTAAGCAACAAAGATTAAAAATCGCTTTATAAGTAATAAGATTTTGTAGACTTGTACATAAATAAATGTAAATAGATACGCGTAAATATACAAATATGCAGATATATTCAATGTGTAAAAACTGAAGTGTATACTAACGAAACTTCTACAAAACAAAACTGGACTACACACTAATTAATTAAAATGGTGTAGTAATTTAATTTTTTAAATTTAACTAAAGCATGAATTCCCCAGGGAATAACCGAGTAGACAAAAAATATATAACGGTAGAAATGGCACATATGTACATACATATATGAAAGAATGCCCACAGGCGACGCACTATAGGCAAAACACGAGTTTTTTTTACCAAAATCGTAGATCTTCGCTTAGAAAAGAGATACTGGAATGCAGCATTTAACCCTTTAATGCAGAGTCTGTCATATAAGAAACGCTTTTTAACCCTTTCAAGGCAGAGGAAAAAGGTTCTCAATATGCTTTTGAACGTGCTTTTTCTCATGTTGACGTAGATATTAATCGTAGAAAATTTTTCTAGAGTAAAATAATAATAAAAAAAATAAATAAAAAAATAAAAATATTAAAAATAAAAAGTACGTTGAAAACATATTGAGAACCATTTTGCCTCTTCCTTGAAAGGGTTAAAAAGCGTTTCATATATGGCAGACTCTGCATTAAAGGGTTAAATGCTGCACTTTCGTAAAGATATCGACCAGTATAACCATTTTTGTTATATAAATTTTTTTTGTGAAAGCTGATAGTTTACGAGTTATTAAGGTTTAAAGGTAGCTTTTCTTTTTCCAATCTGGCCACTCGGGTACAGCATCCAATGTCCCAAGAATCGAGTCTTAAGATAAAATAAAGAGAAATCTTTCAGAAACAGTGCTAATGGTGTATTAAATATAGTGTTTTCTAGTGGAATGGGAGCCAAAATCCAAAATTAAAAAAAAGTAACATTTTGAACGGTATTTTGAGGGTTAAGTTATTGTTGTTGTAACTTCTCTATAGTTTTTCTACATTATATGATCATTTATCTTCACGATAAAAAAATTTTCATTTTATTATCTCTTTTCTAAGCGAAGATCTACGATTTTGAAAAAAAACTCGTGTTTTGCCTATAGCGCGACGCCTCTAGCCATTGTGTATCACAACTTTAAGTTATCGATGCAAATTTTTTTTAATTCCCCCCTTCGCCAAATCCTGGCTACGCCACTGCTCTCATTCCCTAGGACTGTTCTATATCGAAAAAAGTATATCCCTATTTTTTTATTTTGTAATCAAAAAATATTTAGAGGTCGCTCAAAGTTTTCCATTTATTTTTATATGGGGAAAAAAACATTTCGTATAAATGGCATAGAATTCTTGAAAATCAACATTTTTCGATCGGAAAACTCTGGTACTCTTCAGGAGACTTTCAATAATAATACCCATTTGTTTATTTAACCGCCCATTGCATTTTTCGGGGGTTTTGTGGTTTTTTTGCGGACCTATAAATTATAGTTGTGATGAAAAAATTGTTAAATAAACTATTGGGTATTACTATTGGGAATCTCCAGTAGATAAACATAGTATATAAAAATCAAAAAAAAAATAACGCTAAGGGCCTGTTACTCAATGTCTGGTTAACACTAATCTCCGTTTAAACATCATTATCGACGTGTTCGGCTCCATGCATATAACATGGAGTCGGTAACGTCGATAGCGATGTTTAACCGGAGATTAGTGTTAACCAGACATTGAGTACCCGGCCCTAAATATCTTTAAAACTAGAAAGCCCCGGAATTTGGAGGTGGGTATATTTGAAAAGCGGAGGAGCCCAGCTTTCCAATGGCATAGTCAAAATTTGTCGCCCGGTAATCGTTATCTCCCCAGAACGGGAATTGCCCCTCTGGCTCAGCACCTCATAATTGTTAAAAATATACAACCCATAACACTTGGCACAGTACCTAAATAAAATGCCCTCAGACAACTTGTCAAACAATTCGTTGGGCCCGATACCTTACGAAGTTTGGCAACACTAATTGTGTCGATAAGGCAGTTTCCATTGAACACTGCAAATTCCTGATGTGACGTGAAACGTGCCGGCGTATTGTGACAGTGGTTTTGTGTATTTTCTTGTATATTTACTCGGGTATAAATCAAATTGTCGTCAAAGTATTGAAATTTACTAGTGTTAAAGCTAACAATTTGTTTTTCAGGGTATCAACTTGCTGTGAGTAGCGGGCATTGTGCGTAAGTACATACATCCATATTCACATTGCGGAATAAGTAAGCTGCATACAATTGGAACTACAACTCGACGCCCCGTGCAGTGCCTCACAAACTGCAAACTGTTCATATTTGTTTACATTTCACACAGCTGATTTTACAAGAGCGCTCAGTTATTTACCAATAGGTGCATTCATATCAAGACATAAAATAAAACAGCTGCAATTCTGCAAATCTTTATAAATATGACTTTTGTCGACACGGTGAGTATAAGCCTTTTGTAGACCAGCGTATTACTTGCAATTTTGGCATTTCTTTTCCCTTTTATTCATTCTTAATACAGGTGCGAGAATTTCATGCTTTGGGCTGTGATGATGACATAAAGTGTGCTCTGGGCGTTCGAGTATGTTTGGACTTGGAATGCGGTAAATATACTCTATGCTTGTATAAAGCCTTCACACAAATTTTAAAGGAATTTTTTTCATTTTGCAGATAAACGTGTTACAAAATTGTCGAAATGTTACGATTCGGAATTGAATTTGGTATATTTACAAGGCGAACGTGATAATGCAGTTGTCACTTTTGTGCCTGTTTTGTCCAGTCAACCATTAAATTTCGTTGAAGTAGAAAGTATTCAAAAGAAATTAATTGGAACGGATAGTAAAAGGTAAGAAATTTAGAATTTAAATAAGTAGTATTAGCACATGTAAACTGAATTTACTTGCATACCTACCTCATATATTTTAAATTTATATTTTAGCGCTGCGATTACTATAGCTATTTGCGACACTTCAACGAATGTTCTTTACTACGAAGTAACGCCAGGTGTGGTCGACAAAAAATTATGATTAACTAAAAGTACGCAAAGTCAAAAGTGTTACTGATTTGAAAAGTAAGTAAATATTATTTATATCGTCGATGTTTTTGCAAAACCGCCTATCGACCAATTGCAAATCCGCCTATCTTTATTCTTTCTTTATTCTTTATTTAAAATTAGTACAATAAGACATTAGTCTTTTGAAGTACAACAGCAATATAAGTAACTAAACAGATTTAGAGGTAATATTAATACTATTAATGCTGGGAATAAAACAATAGATGTACAAACTAAAAATTATGGACTAGATAAAAACTTAAATATTAAGAAGGTTCATCAACTAGACGAGAAATATGTATGGAGGGAACTTTTAAAGTTGCTTTTGTTGAATTTGGTTTTAACGGCATGAGGAATAGAATTCCAAATACGAATAGCGTTAATGAAAAACAGTCTGGCAGAGTTTTTAAAGTTGTATGAGGGCAGAATTAAGTCAGAAGAACGTTCCGACTTTGGAAAAATAAGTTTGTCATACAGATAACGTGGGGTTCTCATATGTATAAGTTTATAGAGGAAAATGCAGTTCCTGGCTTTTAGGTAGTCTGAGATGTCACATCCCAGCAAAGAAGACCTCCAAGCGGATATATGGTCAAATTTCTGTAATCCATACACACTCAAATTTTACAGGAGATCGAAAAAGAACGGTTTTTTTCTTTGGAGGCATTGCCTCGATGGGGGCGGTATTTTCTCTAGCTATTATTTTAAAAATCTGTGGTTATAATAACGATTTAACGATTTTTATGCATAAATCTCGATGCCTAGAGTTCAGGGTTACCAAATCTCATTTTTGCCACAACGGCGGTTTTGCATCTGGTTTTGCCAAAACATCGACGATATATAATGTACATATTAGCGTGGGCCGAAAATCCGCTTTTTTAGAATTTTGATTGGTAATAGCAAAAATATTGTTCATTATGCTTTAAGAAAAATCTGTGTGAAATTTGGAATTGTTTGGTCAATATCTTAGGCTCGCCCAAGTCCATCAAAGTTCAATATGCCCAAAAAATAAAAATTAATAAACAAATTAATTAATACATTTTTTTTACTAAAATTGCAAAAATCTTCGAAAGTATTAGTCCTACATAATTTGGTATATGGACCTTTTTTGTAAAGAATCGAAGTTAGCTAAGAAACAAATTTTTTTAGTACTTGAACTTTGATGGACTTGGGCGAGCCTAGGATATTGACCAAAAAATTTCACATTTCACACAGATTTTTTTTAGAGCATAATGAACCATATTTTTGCTATGACCAATCAAAATTCTAAAAAAGCGTATTTTCGACCCACGTTAGTACATATTACATACTACATTACTTTTTTATTACACAAATTTTTAGGTAGTGAATTGTTAAATTGAGTTTTAAATAATCGTTGATTTTTTTGCTGTAGCGCACATAAATAATTATGTATGTATGTATATTAGGGTGGTCCTTAAATGTAGGAGGCAATTTTTTACATCAGATTTCCTAATCCTCAACCCCTACGTCGTTATATGACATATAAATTTTGGTCTCGATTGGAGACGGTTAAGGCGTTGTGATTGCAACTCGAACAAGCCCATCCATCGCATCCACGGATGTCTAAAATTCCACATTCGCAACATCCCTAGTATGTGCATAGCCTTGTGGTCAGCTGGTTAAATCAAGTGACATTTTGACTAGTTTTGGCTATTTTTCTTGTGTTTTTTTAATGTTTATATTTTTTTCATACACATATAAATCCACATTTCAAACTTCGTACAAAAATTATGAAAATTCAACAAACTAACATTTCCACCAGAAAATTTTAAACTTTTTATTCAGAAATTTTGGGTATGCGGTATTGTAGCTCATTAAATTTTAGTACGTTAAAGTGCCAATTTCAAGACGAAAGAAAATTGCGTTGATTTTTAATAATTTTTTTGGCTGACGGTGCTGTGCATTTTCTTCCATATAAAATATGCTCGACAATTTCGTTTGTATGGGAGAAAAAAAATTAAAGTTGTTAAATCTTCTTAGCTAAGAATGTTAGCTATTATCATTCTTAGCTGTCGCACTATTATTTTTTGCACACAACTGTACATACATAGATTTAAAATATTATCTTCATTTTTTCACTTATTTCGCCAATAGTCTTTACTTACCTGTAATTGAGCCCGAAGTTAAAAAGCAAAAGAAGAATTGCTTAGTTCTAATGAAAATTTCTCATTATTTTGGTAAACCTTTTTATTGACTGGATAATTAATTTTTTGATTCATCTTCAAGAATATGTTATAATCACTTTTACATTTCTTCCTTTTTAGCGCTCAACCCTTTCTTATTTTACTTTATGAAGACTCAATTTTTAATATGTTTCCAACATTAGTGTAAAAATACGTACTTTTTTATCTATACAATATTAATTTTAAGTTAATTAATTAATTATTTTGTTTGCACAACATGCAAATTTTTAATGGCTTCATTGGAGTTACTGTTCTTTAGTGCATATGAATTTGTAATTTATGAATGTTTTTGACAATGCTAATGGGGTTTAGCTTTTAACCGGTTTCATAAATTTTTGTAAATACATTTTGTATAAGGTTTCCATTCATATGCAATCAGGCACATAAAACGTTAATTATATGTAATACAAATTAGAATTTCTTTTGTGTTGCACAACTACCGGAGCAGCTCAAGGTTGCAACAGTTTTTTTTTTTTTGTCGTTGCAACGTTTCCAAAATTTTAACGCAACAATCTCTTCTCAGAAACTCGTTAAACTTTTACAAACTTTTTTGTCTTAAAACTCAAAATGCGAATTTAAAATTCATGTTGATTTTAATAAGAAATAGCTACAACTCCTCTTTTAATTTAGACCTCTTTAATGTGTACTCGTATCTTTTTGTGATGCTACATCGTTATAACTACCGCGAAACCCAAAAATTTCAGTCCTCAGTTATTAAAATAAACAAAAAAAAAAAACAATCATAAAATATTTGTCTCAGTAATAAGACTGGACATTTAAAATGGATTTCATTCGACGAACTGGTCACAAATCATGGCAGCTCTCCAAAGCTTTCAAATTTCCGCGTACCCTGCGTATCAGTAGTATAATCGCCAATCACATTGGGTACTTCAAATACATTTTTCACTTCTTTCTCAGTTGTTATTAAAAAAAAAGTAAAATTTTTAACCGACTTATAAAAAAATTAAAGCTGTCCCATTGGAAAACCGGTTTTTACCATACAATCCGTGCAATCCGTGAACCGAAAGACTGCCCCGAAAAAGCAAAAAATGTAAATAGGCCAAACCGCAACACTGAAATTTACGAACGAAGGGTGATTTCACGACTAGAAGACTTTCAAGGCACGCGACATGCGCCATTCCTTCAATTATTGACAGTTGTTTTTCGAGGCTGGAAAAGTTTCGAGGTTTTCGAGCCATTTTCGAGTTTAAGGGAATCCCCTTCCTATTGAAGTAAATGAACGATGGTCTCCGAATAATCGGTCCTGTTACGGTTGCCGATGTCGACATCGATGTAATTTTTTGTCAAAAAATAGCCCTCATCACTCCTCACCAATGTGGTTTTGCGAGGAACACCTTTCCTTAGAAATCTTTTACACCTCTTGCACATTTACTGCACATTTTAATGGGAGAGAATTTTAAATAAGGATATTGCTTTAAATTAGACAATTTACTGAAGTGCTAAAATTTGAGTAAAATATTTTTCGGTATTCAGTATTAAGGGAACTCGTTAAGTTATTTTTAATTAACCAAATCTACTTCGTCGCTGTGGCTAAGTGGTTAGAGGTGCTTGCTACCACTCCGTTTTTTGCTAGGACCACTCGCCGCTAGGCATGCAATGGCAAATCTTCGAGTGTATTACTCTCTTGAAAAAGCTTCTCACATAAAGCATTTTGTTTTTCAGAGCCCGAAAATGAAATTGCCTCCTATGTAGATTACTTTCAAGTAGAATTTATCTAAGGCGGTGCTACCAGAACAGCTCTGATTTGATTTTTATCGGTACACAAATGTCAAAAATTCATATTCCTTCTTATGATTCTCTTTGCAAACAAATTTATATAAGTATCCCTGTTGCGTGCTCAATTTTAAAGCGATAGGGCTTCCATCATCGATTTTTACTCCTTTTATTTTTGTATGAAATGTCGTAACGGAAAATAATCATTATTTTTTAAATTTTAAATAAAAAATGTTCTAAGCT